TTTGGAATTCATCAAATGATATATAAGGGCGGTAAAAATTGAAGAAAAACTATTGGCCTAGTTTCGAGCTTTTTTGGACCTAGTTTGATGACGATCTAGCCAATGATCAAAGCTGATTACTTATAGCTAGACCCAAGGGTGATTTTGGCCAAAAAAACATAGTTTTGGGCCTTAAAATCTGCTTTCACTTTTTCTAGAAGTTTCGGGCCAAAAAGATTTAGAATTCATAAAACGATTTGAGCATAGCAAAAACTAAAGAAAAAATGTCGGCCTAGTTCCGAGTTTTTTGGACCTAGTTCATTGCCAAACGGGCCAATGATCAAAACTCATTACTTGTAGCCATGATTGAGGGGTGATTTTAATATAAAAAAACTTAGTTTAGGCCCTCAAAATCAGTGCCACTTGTTTATCTAGAATATGCGGCCCAACTAGCTTTGGAATTCGTGGAAAGGCATGGGTGTGGTAAAAACTAAAGAAAAACTATCGACCTAGTTTTGAGCCTTAGTGGACCTAGTTCGATGTCAAATGAGCCAATGATCCAAACTCACTTAAAGTTATGACTTAGGGGCGATTTTGGTAAAATAATGTAGTTTAGGTATTCAAAACCGAGCTTTCATCGTTTTACGGATGATGTGAACAAATAAGCTTTGGAATTTATGAAACGGCATGGGCACGGTAAAAAATTGAATAAACACTACCGACCTAGTTTTGAGCTTTTTTGGACCTAATTCGATGTGGAACGAGGCTAACGAATAAAACTCATAGCTTAAAACCATGACCCGGGGGCGATTTTGGCCAAAAAATATAGTTTAGGCCCTCAAAATCGGCTTTCACTTTGTTTCCAAAAGATGCGGGCATCCGGGCTTTGGAATTCATGTAATGATATGAGTGCAATAAAAACTAAGGAAAAGCTGTTAGTCTAGTTTCAAGCTTTTTTGGATGTAGTTCAATGCCAAATTGGCGTACGATCAAAACTCATTGCTTATAAGTTGTGACCTAAGGTGATTTTGGCCAAAAACTATAGTTTAGGCCCTAAAAATTAGCTCTCAATATTTTTCGAGAACATGCGGGCTAACGGGCTTTGGAATTCATGAAAAGGCATGAACACGACAAAAGTTGAAGAAAAACTATCGACCTACTTTTGAGCCTTTTTGGACCTAGTTCGATGCTAAATAGGCCAACGATCAAAACTCATCGCTTAAAGCCATGACCTAAGGGTGATTTTGACAAAAAAAAAACATAGTTTAAGTCCTCAAAATCAGCTTTGAGTGTATTTACGGACGATGCCATTTGGGTGATCGTGGATAGGTTGACCAAATCAGCACGCTTTCTTCGGTCGAACCACCTATAATCCGAACTAGTACACCCGAGTTGTACCTTGAAGAAATTATAAGGATACATGAGATTTTGATCTAAATAGTGTCGGATCGAGATCCTAGATTCACCTCTATACTTTGAAAAAGTTTGCACAAAACTAAACTTTAGCATAACTTATCATTCGTAAATTGACGGACAATTCGAACGAGTGATTCGGATACTTGAAGATATGTTACGAACATGCATTCTAGACTAGTCCGGAAAATGGGAGAAGTACGTACGTTTAGCTGAATTTGCATATAACAATAGCTACCAAACTTTAATTGGGATAGTTCATTATGAAACTTTATATGGCGACAATGTAGATTTTTTGTGCATTGGGATGAAATAGAGGAAAGAAAGCTACTTAAACTAGAATTGTCTGTAACAAACGACTAAAGTGGTAGATAAGATCCACCAACGGATAAAAAAGCTTAAAGCAGATAAAAAAGCTACGCCGATAAGAGGAGGAAAGACCTAGAGTTTGTAGTCGATGACTATGTATTCCTAAAAGTTTCATTGATGAAGGGCGTACTATGATTTGGAAAAAAGGAAAAGTTAAGTCCGTGATACATAGGACCATTTGAAATACTTGGATCAAGTAGGCAATAAGGTCTATCGCTTGATGCTACCACCATCGTTAGTGGGAGTAAATAATGTATTTCATGTATCCATGCTAAGGAAGTGCATAGGAGATCCGAGTCAAATCCAAATCTTACACTAGATTTAACATATGAAGAAAGACCGGTTTAGATTCTTGATAGACGAGATCAAACAATGATGGAATAAGGAGATTAGTCTAGTTAAAGTTTTATGGGAAAATCATAACCTCGAAGAGATGACTTCGGAATAAGAGGAAGAAATGAGAGATAAGTACCCGAATTATTCGAACGAGTTAATTTCGCATACAAAATTCCATTAAGGGAGAGAGAAATGTAATCCCCGTAAAGTCCTTAACCATATCAATATACGTACAAGGATTTTTGTATGTATATACATTGAGCAAGGGTGTGATTTATGTGGCATTTTAATGTTTTGGTAATATTATTATGCTTGGTGTTTATGTGAGGAATTAAGGGATGAATTTTTAAGTAATTTAGCTGATTACCGTTCATTTTCTCTAGTATATATATGGAACCTATTATACAAGTGAGAAAGGTATTTTAAAATATGAGGAATGTTGGAAACTTTTTGGGAAGGAAATAGCCAAATTATTGGGATGGAAATTGCCAAATTGATTATTTAGGGAGGAATTGCTGAATTTTTCTAAGAAAGAAATGTCATGTTACTTGAACTAAACTAACTTAAGGGACTTAGTTAGCCTAATCACCACTTTTAGCAAATAACTAGAAACCTAAGCCTTCATTTAGTGTAATGGAATCCAACTCATTCCTTTGACTAAGCCAAACCCACCACTCATACCTCTTAGTCACCATTTACTTTACACTTGATAAATTAAATCAAGACACATGTAAATTAATTAAAATGTAAGGAAAATGGAGCATGTATAATATAAGGAAAGAGATTACATGGCTACATTTTTGGTGAAATCCGTAACTCACCTGAAAGAAGAAAAGAAATGTCATTGAGAGGGAGAGAAACATGAAAAAAGAAAGAGAGAAAAAAAGAGAAAAATAAGGAAAAAGCTAGGAAAATCCTTAACAAACCTAAACTAAGTAAGTGGGTTTTTATCTATGTCATCTATTTGATTTTTAAATGTTAATTTATGTAATTGATTAAGCTTTTGATTATGTTGTGTTGTGTTGTTGTGTTGGTATTGTGTTGGATGGCTTGAGCATATAATTGTTGGTTGTTATGGAATATGTAAGGAATGGTTGATATGTTGCTTATTAAGTTTGGAAACCCTTATGCATAACTATGTTTGTTTATTGATAGGTTTGATTGAAAAAATAGGGGCTTGATCGAAACTTGGTGGACTAAACTAGGATTGATACGAACTTGGACGAAGTAGAATAGGAAGGAAGAAAAATTGAATTTTAGGGTTTTTCCTAAGGTGACTTTCAGCCAAAATGGGAAAGATGGAACCTTTTTGATACTTAAGGACTTAAATTTCAGTGGTGAATAATTAGGTTTGATTAGTCATTTTGAACAAAAAGGAAACTTTATATAAAATCAAAGAACATTTCGGCAAAATTAAGAGACCCATTTGGCCCAAACTTAGCAAAATGGGGTTTTGGGTTCCATTAAATTAATTTGATAAGTAATGGTTCAATTAGGTCTAATTAGGAATAAAATTGAAATTAGAAAGGTAAGTTTGCCAAAGAAATCGAGATTTTGACTTAAGAGCTAAATTCGGCCTAAAAGAGTTAAAATCGGGCTAGAAGGTAACATTATACCTCAACATGTTGACAATCGGTCCAACTGCTAATAACTATGCAATTCAAGTGTGGAACAATTGAACGACGAGATTTACTAAAGGAAAAAGAAAAAGGAATGTATTCATGTGCACAATTAGATCTATGACTCAACCAATAGCTTTTGTCGATATTTAACTCTAACGAGGTGAACATCATAATAAGGGGTATGAGAATACCCGAAACCTTATGTGGGTTGGATCTATGAGAATATATGAAACCAAAACCTATATAGGTTGGATATGTTTAATACGATAAACGTAACATCATGCGCATCATGTGCATTGTGGGGCGAGTTGAGAAAAGTCAATTGATTAAGAATTGGTTTACATGGTTAGGTTTGGTAACCTAACCGGAATAAATGAGTATTAACGATCCAACTATGTGCATGCTCTAATCTGTTTGACTGCACTATTGGGTGATGGATTCTTGCTAACGAGTGGCTATAACGAGGGATAACTCCATTTTTAGCATTAGGTGATTCAGTAATCACCAATAGAGGAGACTTGCTAATACCAAGAGTACCCGGAATTAAAATCTATGAGTATGGTAGGGAAGTTCAAAAAGCATTGCATATCACGTGCATCGCCCTACTTACCGAGCTTCGGCTCACCTCGTTGTTATTTCCATGTTATGATAGGAAAGGGTCAAAGTAGCAAGGATGCTCGCTGGTTCCTCCTAAAAAGGGGCTCATGCGTGACAAAAATGTACGAAGTTTATGTTAATTGTAATTTTGGGTTAGGATGTTAGTAGAAATTTTAATGGTATTTTAAATAATTTATAATTTCTTTCGCTAGATTTGTTAATGTTATGTAATTTATACTTTACGCATTTCATTATATAATGTGCCCTTAATGTATGAGCATGTACGAATTAGGGATTAAGTCGGGATTTGGTCGTGTCGGGATTTTGGGTAATTAGCTAGTGGGATAGGGAGAGGACACCACATCCTCTCTATCTCTCTTCCCTTCTCTCTTCCCCCTCCCTCTCTCACCTTCTCTCTACCCCTCTCTCTCTCTCTCTTTCACCCTCTCTCTCTTCCTCTCTCTCTCCCTCCCTCTCTCTCCCTCACTTTCCATTGTTAGTGTATGCCCCAAAAGCCAATCATAGTTTGATTATACTATCATACACTTATTATATATATATATATATGAGGTATTCCATTTATTATGTTTAGTTATTCTTATATTTTATCAAATAAACATGATAATGTTTCAAGAATATTATTATTCTTAAATGTTCTTAGTCAAGTGTTTTATTGTTGATATACTAAAGGCGCAACCATAAAGCATTGAGACTAGTATGTGTAATGAATGATAATAATGTGTTATGGACATGAGATACCAAGTCGACACATTGGTACATGTTGTTAACACCTAAATTTTGCTCCCCTTTAATTATTTATTTGTTTTTGTTATTACAAAAATACCAAAAAAAAAGGGTAAAAAAAATGGAAACAAAAAGAAAATAGAAAAAGAGAAAATTGAAAAATAAGAAAAAATCGAGTTGGGATAATTAGTTTAGGTTAATTAAAAAAAAAAGAAAGAGGCAGGGGGTTAATTGAAGAAGTGAAAAGTTTAAATGTGATAAAAAGTGCAATTGAATGTCCAATAAAAAAAAATCAAAACTTTTGTCCTTCAATTAAAAAAATAAGGAGGCATGATTGGGACAAATTAAAATAAAAAGTCTCAATTAGTTACAAAGGGAGCTCAAATTAAAACAAAAAAAAAAAAAGCAAAATCGACCTCAAGTTAATGCATGAGAAGAAACCAAGGACCAAACCGATATTTAGCCCACCCCATGCATTTTTTTTATACCTAACACTATTCATCCTCACAAGAAGGAGGAGGCAACCACCGGACAAAGAAAACGTAGAAAAGCTCCTATGCCGCACCCTATCCCCGACCACCAACCAACTCGCTCTCTCCCTCTCACCTATACCCCTACACGTTAGCCCCCTCACCCACGGGACCACCACATCCCTCTCGCCCCTCACCTGCAGCCATCACAACACCGGCACCCTTCTCCATTGCAACGACCTCACTCGTGCGCCTAGCCCATCCTCTATTGCCTCACACACGTCCTCTCCTAATCCGACACCCATAAGCAAGCTTATAGCCCCTTCGGAGCCTACTTTACACCAACACCGACCTTGCCCAAAGTCTCCCTTTCGCCTAACACCCCAACATCCGACCCTCCTCCATAACACACCCAATACCGCCCAAAAATAGCCCTCCGAATAGCTTCCTTACAGCCCCTTTTTAGCCAACTTCTTCCTCATCCAAAACAGCCATAAAATACTCCCAATGCAGCTTTAGATTAGCCCCAAAATGACCTCAAAAGTAGCCCCAAAATCAGCCCTAAAACCAACCCCAAACAGACACTGAAAAACCTATAAAAATCCCAAAAAAATCAGCCCTACAACCATTACCAATAGTCCCTAAAAAACCATTACAGAGCAACCCCTTTAGACAGCCTATTTAAACCACCAAACCAGCCTAAAAAGACCTCCAAACAAGTTTCAAAATAGTGCCAAAACTCCCTAAAACCGCCACCAAGACGACCAAAAAAACTACCTCAAAACAACCCCTGCACACTTCTCTAGAGCTCTTGCAAAAGAAGAAATAAGAGAAAAAAAATTAAAGAGACTAAGATGGTTTTTTTTGTTGTGTTAGATTATATTGGTAGGGAAAACATGACGTTGTAGATTGTATTTCTTTGGGTTTTGACGAGAAAATACAACAAGAAAGTCATTTTGGATTTTTAGGAAATCTTGAAAGATTTCGGGAGCCCCTATAAATTTTTTAACAATATTTGGAATAGTTGCACAAGTAACGGAGGAACTTTTGGACAATTACTCTCCTTTCCCGACTAATCGAACAACCGGATTTCATCAAGACTGAAGAGAGTATAACTGATTTTGTTTCGAACATCGAAGTTTCGAGCTCTTGGGTAAAAATCTAAAACCATTGCATATTGTCTAAAAAAAATGACAAGTGATTAAAAATGATTGGACTATTGGTTTGCGTGAATAAAGTCATAGCATTTTGTTTGAATAGCCATAGTCTAAATGTGATTGACATAAACATTGCTATACGAAGCCGATATCAAAAGATAAATTAAGTTACTTTTTGATTGGCATGCTTAGTTGTCCAAATGTGAAGTCATATGATTTAATTATCTATCCATGATTGATTGTCATCAAAATGAAGTCGTCGGTGGCTTCCTACTTCGTGACGAAGCCGTCGGAGGGCGTCAAAGCAATTTTATTGATTTCTATGCTCGATTCCTATGTTGTAATGCCTGTTTTTCTTGTTTTTTTTTTTTTGCTTTCGAGTCCCTATTTCCTGTTTTCCATTTTCCATGATTTATTTCATCAAAACAAAGCCACTAGTGGCCTTAAAAATAGCTTTTTTTTCATTTACTTGTCTGTCTTGCCTACAATGAAGCCATCGGTGGCTTCCCACTTATGTGACGAAGTTGTCGGTGGTTTTTAAATAATTATCTACTCCTCACTAGAGCGACATGAAGTTGTCAATGAGTTCCCACTTTTGTGTCGAAGTTGTCAATAGCTTTTGAAATGTGTGACTCGAAGTCTTCGGTGGTTTCCCACTTCGTGAGCGAAGTGGTTGGTGACTCGTAGCTCATGCCAATAAAAGGCTATTTATCTTTAGAAACTTGCCTATTTTCAATAATAGGTTATGTTCGCTAGTGACTAGCCAAAATTCTCATTTTTTACTTATTTTCCATTTGGGTAGGACATATCGGCCTTGGACTAGCTCGAATATCCCAACTACCTTATTTTATATCCAAGCCATCCTATCTCATATTTTTACAAGATAAACTCATTCAATAGGCATAAAAGCATAACATGATAAAAAATAGATTTTTACATTCATAGATAAACGATGTAGCCTACCTTAGGTAGGACCGAGATGGTGGTGCCGACATGTCTTCTCCGAGTGTAACCAACCCCTTATCCGGATATCCATGTGGATGAGTATATTTAGGGTTTCTTACTTCTACTCGATTAGCTAGGTGGCGACTCCATTGATTCAACCCCTCCTCTTGCGATGGCCGATGTTGACGGAATTGGCCACTCCACTGGGGCGAGTGCCATGCTAGGGTCAAGCTTTGAATGTCTATGTTTTGAGTCTCCGGTTATCTGTTATGTCCGTATGCCTATCAATTATGATTGTTATTTAAATATGTAATTATTTTTATGTGATGGTAACATGTTTGTATATATATGCATTGTTTGTGTGCTTTTGTTGCTATAGCTTGGGTTGTTTAATTTCTTGGCCTTTATTTTATATTTTGAGATTGGATATGGAGTTATGCCCTCACACACTACACTACATAATCTTAAATGTCATCTCGCATTTGCTTTAGGATCTAGGGAGGAATTACTGGTGCCCCGATGGGCTTCGCCCCGGTAATACTCACGAAACCTCAACTCTATTGGAAAGTTACAACTCGTCATGATAGGTATTCGATAGTCTCTATGATTACCACCTTCGTACTTGGTCAACCTTGATTCTCTCAAGCCAAAAGGGACCTCGCTGAGACTTAGATAGATCCTACCCAATCATGTAATGGCTAGAACCGGACCCTAGGACCACCTTTCCCGTATAAATTCACCGGGCAAGTCGGACATGTCGAAACCTTGATCAAACAAGTCGGTCATGAATGTTTCGGGATGGGTGACCGGAGAACTCGAGTCTAAACCCGGTCGGTGGATGAATTTAACAAAATTTCTAAGGCTTTGGAACAAACGAGAGGGGGATTGCCTAGGTCTTGAATTTTAAAGTAACCATAAGGAAATCACACACTTCCAGTTGGTGATCAACGACACTCAAAAGCTACTTGACTGTTCGAAGATGCTGAACCTTGATGATCGGTATAGATTTCAAGCCAAATATGAGAATCTTACGGTGTTGCTAGAGGTACCGGTTCGAAGCCCGCTCTCGAGGCCTTGGCTTGCTTGTGGGATCCTTTATACATATGTTTTACTATAGGAGAACTTGATATGACATCGATCTTAGAGGAGTACCATCAACTTCTAAACATGGCAAGCACTCTACATCGGGTCTATCTATGTCGAAGACGATCAAACATCGAGAAAAGAGTAGAGGATTAGTTAAACATCAACATGAGTCATGGTAAGGCGAAAAGGAATGTCTTAGGTTGGCACTTTGAAAGTCTGGTTGGATATGTTCAAGCAAAAGCTGAAGGATCCATGAGCTACCTCCAAGAGGATTAAAATTCTAGCACTAATGATTGTTGGGTTAGTGTTTTTCCCCTCATCGGCCAGTTTTATCGGTTTAGATGCGGTTAATATCTTCATTGAAGTAGATAAGCACTCCATAAACCCTACTCGCGACCATTCTAATCGAAACCTTTTCCTCATTGAGCCACTTGTAGGAGGTTTGGGAAAGGTAGTTTGAGATGTTGTGTCCAAATGCTTTTTGTGTGGTTTATCGGTCATGTCGAAGCCCATAAATCGAGTTTTTAAGACATCTTGATGGATTGATCAAGAATCATTGAGGGCGTTCCTAGCTGGTACATGGAAGAATAAGTCCGAACAAGAATGGTTTTCATCATTCCCGAGTTTGTCGAATAGAGATTTTTATGGAAGATAGTTTGGATGAGTCGAAGACCATACCTAGCTTACTTGTGGAGCACGACCATGGGTTCCTCTTATAGGAGCGACTTGGATATACTTGTTACGCTCCCTATATGGTATCAAGACAATTTGGCTATGAATAAGTTGTACCTAGAACCATGGACCTAAACGGATTTGAAGGAAAGCTTGAAAGTGATGCCACTCCCGAGTTCCTTGAACGGGTTTTGCAAGATTGGTTAACTTTGGGAATAGTTGGTGGAGGAATAGTTGACCATAAATTAGTAGTAAGCGAGAAGTATCTTATCCGGCAAGCAAGCGGGGTGAAAGAGCGCCAACATCCGACTAGCGTTAACTAACTCATAAGAGAAAGAAGTCCAAACCAACTTGCCTGAGGGAGTGAGCTGATCATACCACGAATTCCAAGTCTTATGCCTAGCTAGTCTAAAGGAAAAAGAGAAGAACTGGTGATTCCCTAGAATTAATCCCTTCGGACCATCGAACCTCATCGAAGAAGTTGAGAGGCTTAAGATTGAGAACCAAAAGCTGAAAAGTGATTTGGCCAAAGAAAAGCAAATGAAAGAAAAGGATAAAGAAAAGATAGCAAATCTAGAGCAAGATCCGAAGACTTGGCGGGGTATAGCCGCCGAAGAAGAACGTTAGAAATCAATCTATCATCGAGCTAGACTAGAACTGGAGGCCAAATATGCTCGGTTAGATAGATTGCAACCACAAGATAGATGAGTTGAACTTAAGCTAAGGAGTCTAGGTTCGAAATGCAAAAGATCAAAGAAAATAATCCGAAATGGCAAATGTCAATAGGCGCCGAATGTAGCAATCGTCGAGATTCAATGGAGAAAGTTGAGAGTGCACAAAGTTAGATTACAGCACTCGAAGGAGAATCGACATCCGGAAGGAGAGCTACTTAAGTTGTCCTCGTACTTGGGTCACTATACATAACCACTTAGCTTAAGTAGGTAGTGGGCGAGGCAAAAGGCTGGTTGTGCTAGACAATCAAGCAAAGGAGGTCTCCAAGGAAGCTATAGCACTTCGAGAGCTATGCTTGGACATCAATGAGGGTAGGGTGAGAAACCATAATGAATCTATGATCAAATACATGAGAAGGTGTGACTACTTGTTGTTTGAAATGGCTAGAAGAGGAAAGGTCTTTGGCGTCCGATCAAACTATCGAGCAATTAGCTCTTTTTGGCTTGTATTTCATCTTTCGTTATATGAGTTTCTTTCCCTTTTTCTTATGTAAAAAGAAAGATGTTTCTTGAACTATCATGGGCCTACGTGCTTATAATTTTGAATACTCGGATAATGAAAGCTTTGGCATCTTTCTTTTATTTGCAAAGAATCTCATCTTCATCAACTAAATTTGAGATAATCTAATGGCTCGAATAAGAAGCAATTTTGAGATTGATGTTGCTAGTACAAAGATCGGTAAGCTTGTCCACTTCTAGTCTCTAAAACATGAG